GAGTACAGGTTATAGCTTCTGTAGTGTGGCAGGGTCATTGGGACACTAAGCATCGCTGGCTGGAAAGCATATACCACACCTGCCCTTATAGAAGTGCTTGCCTCTATAAAGAATGCAACATTGAGGTCCTTCATTAGGTCTATTACTAATATCTGTCTGGAAAGTTTAGCCTCTGAATCCATTTCCATGTTGATGCATTGCTCTGACCTTTGGTGATGAGAGGGATTTGTGTGCAGTAAGCAATTGCTTACATGCTGTAATACAAACATGACAATGAACAGCTAAATTAAGACCATTATTACACTTGCAAATACAGATAAACAGAAACCCATGGCAGGTTGCCATTACATACCCCGGGCACAAGCAAAGCTTTGGGATATCTTGGTGAAAAAGCCATTACCTCGGCCATGATGCTTGTCACCCCACATTTGATCAATGCTTGGATTTTAAAGCCTCTTTTAAAATCTCACATCTACTTAATATCACATTATTCACCAGATAGAGTTCAGGCCTTTAAGGTTTTCCATTCCTTTCCAAAGCTGCAGAAATTCTCTATGTCATGGAAATGTGCCGGCAAATGCCACCTGAATGATAATTTGTATATTAAGCTTTGCATCAAGGAATCCATGGCCTTTTCAAATGCGCTTTTCAAATGCAATATGAATGGAAGTAAAATGTGTTTTTGTCTTGGGGTTCTTAACCAGGAAAATTCCATTTAATCTCAGATGAAAAAAATCTGTTGCTAGATTATGCGTGTAATATTAAAGAGAAAAAAAATCCTCCAGGCACTGGCTGTGTGGGATATGCTACAACATGTAAATAATAACAGTGTACAGTGCAAACATAACGTTAAGGCCTTATCTGTTGCTTTTTTCACTCTTTCAGCACATGAAACTAAATGGCTTAACACTAGAGGGCTCACATGCATTATCATACAAAAGAGCTCTTCATTTGAGTACTGGGGGATGGGAAGTGGGTGGGGGGCACAGATGACTATGTATTATTGATTATGCTTTATTGTGCTGAAACATCCCTTTTATAGCCGTGGACAAAACTCAAGAGGGGATGGAATGTATCATCAGAATTCATACCCAGCACTCTGTCTTGTGTCATGACACCCGAGTGCAAATTGAGGACAGTGGGAACTCAGAATTTTTCAAAAGTTTCAAATTAATTCAGAAGGTGTCAAGAAACTAGGACTTATGTGTGCGTCAAAGAAAGAAGAGAGCAAAACTACCTGACTGTATCTCAATACGCGCATCCCTGTTTCCTGACGTCCACGTCATGTAAAGTTTGCGTTATCATGCACACGCTCTATCACACCACTGACTCCATCCTGCGTGGAGTCGGTGCATGCGTAAGCCGTTGCAAACTGAGCAGCTGGTCTCCCCTGTGGGAGTCATTAGCAGTGAAGCTCATCCTTTTGTCACACACTCCAGTGTCTGTCCCTCACCTCTCAGCCCAACCTCAGGGCCCATCACGTTCCCCCCTGCACACCTGGCTTTATTTCTTTCTTCTCCTCTCTGACTTCAAGGCTCTGCAGGCTGGCTGCTCCCATAGAAACTGAACTAGATAACTATAAAAGAGAAAGGGCGAATGAGCAAGATATAAACAGAATGGAAAGAAGGAAGAAGTAGACAAATAGGGAAGAGGCAGTGGGGGAATGAGGTCTATCAGCCCTCCGCAACCTATTATCCTGGAGTCCTGGAGGATGCATTTCCCTATACATACTCCCCTAGACGTCACTTTCTTCCTCTGTACCATGTTATTTCTGTAAGCCCCTTGCCTCCCTCATCCGTCCATCCGGCTGTCCCAAGTTTGCCCGCTGCCTCTCTCTGTGGTCACGCCACAGAGAGAGTCAGTTATATTAAAGCCTCCTCTTCTCTTCTAATCTCACCACGGCAGAGAGGCTGGAGCTGGCTTTGCTTCAGATACACAGACCCCCACTTGCCCACCTCTGCCCAGAAAAATCTCTGCTCATAGTTACCACTGACAAATATGCCAACACATTTTCCACACCAGCCCAACAAGCCCCAGTGCTCGCCTCTGTTAAAGGCTCAGCTCCAACCCTATTCAGTTGTACATATGTACTTATTAAGATGTAAATTCAAATTGTTTGTCTATCCTCTCTTTAGTATTTATGAAATGGACATTTGAAAGTGGAATGAGGTACTTGAAGATAATATAGGGAGTAAGCAGGTGGGTGGATTTAGGGATGAGTGCTGTTCCTTGGAATTCAATATTTTCCACTGGAGATGTCCCATGCCTCATCTATATCAGACAGAAGATAAGGTACAATTGATCCCAGGGGGAGGTAGTTTAAGAGAAAATGCTTAAACACTTTTCCTCCTGTTACCATAAAGCCCAGATTGAGGGAAATTAATGTGATTTTCAGGCTGGTCCACTTGTCATATACTGTATTTGCTGCACTCTCCTGGGATGGTTTAGGATTCCTCTCAGCAGCTTGAGGCTATACCTCACTGGATCCAAATGGAGTTACTGAAAATTGGGAATGAACTCCATTTATGGATTTTCACTCCAAATAAAGTGGCTAATTCGGTCAAAAGAGCCATGACCCCAGCAGAATTAACCTAGCAATTTGTCACTTCCAAGGACATCTCCAGGGAGTTTGCTGAAACCGGCCAACTTGATATAATCCTTCATTCCCCGATCAGTAATGGAGCAGAGGAGAGGTGATAGACGTGATTTACAGTAACCTATACTTTCTCTCCATCTTTTCATCCCTTTTTCTTTTCCCCTCCTCTGATGTTTGGTTTTCTTCCCAAAATGAATCTCTTCAATTTTGCTTTATGACGCTGATGCCTACGCTCACTGTCGCAGTATTTACATAAGCGTTACGGTGCGCATACTTTTAGAACCCTATTCATCATCACTGCCACAACTGCTCGTGGAAGCAAAGTGAAGTGGGCCCTCCCAACTGGATGAATAAAAATCCCATTGATTTCCTTTGGAGGAAGCATACCAGGCCTGATGCCGAGGCACAGTGCACACCTGTAGATCAGGTGTTAATGAATATCAATGTTAAAAAAAAGAGAACTGAACGGGGGGGACATATTTTTCCTTTCAGATACATAGATAGATAAATCCTCAATAATCTTTGTGTTCATCCACTGTCTAAAAAAGATCTTTAGATCTTGTCCCCCTCCCAGGCTTTGCGTAAGAATTTTCTTTGAGCACCTCATCCTCTTCACTAGGGTTCTGATATAAACGGTAGTAACCAGACCAAAAAGCAGCGCACATTTCAGTGCTTCTTTTTCTCTGAAATGTCATAAACTTTGGATTCTAGCCAATCATTTTACCTTTGCAAGGATAGTAGGCGGGCCCAGGGACGTACGTTCTTTTAGAGAAGAGCTACAGATTAAAAATGCCCAAGGCGAAGCGGTCAAAAGTCTGGCTGTACTTCACAGCAAAAGATGCAAATCATAGCTGCAACAAGTGCTTAAGTGATACTGTGCAAAAGTAACACTGAATCTGATGAAACACTGCAAGATAGTTTTTTGAAAGCGAGAAATGCACGTATTGATAGCTGCTGAAGACTCACACGACACATCTACTGCAGGTGTGCTGTTATCAGACCGATACAACATCCCCCAAGAACCCGAAGAGGAGAGTCCTGGCCCCTAGCCCTGCCAGTGTAGCAGAAATGATGACGGATGATGATGCAGCAGCAGCCATTCTTCTCTGCGTGAGTTGCTTCATGTTGTTCGTGTGTAATTTACGTTGAGTAGGCTAACCACGTTATTACATTAATGCATGTAAGGTGAACTACCAAACACCGTCGTAGTTTCATGCGGCTGTCTTCTTGTTTGATGGCAGATACTAACTTCATGTTGTATCAACAGAATAGGCTAACTTGGTTATCATTTTGCAGAAAAAAACATAAGAGGTTTTTGGACAAAGTTTGTGTTCTCCATTCTTTAAGCACCGGTTCGAGCACCGTTTAGCACTGGCTTTTACCATAGAATACCAGAATTGGCAGGTCCACCACCACTGGTGCCCTGTGCTTTTCACAGATAATAGCAGGTTCACCCTGAGCACAAGTAATAGATGTAAAATGGTCTGGAGAAGCCGTGGCGAACGTAATGCTGCCTGTAACATTGTCCAGTATGACCAGTTTGGTAGTTGGTCAGTGTATATTTGCAAAGAAGGATATATATATATATTTATATATCACTTATATAATGAATATACGAGTGTATATTACACTTGTATATTCATTTGACCTCAGTTATCCATTAGTGTTTTCGGCACCTGCTTTTGATACGTGTGTTAAAGGTTTACTTGTGCAGAAAAAAAAAACCTTTTCAAAGAATTCATAACATTAGGTTCCCGTCACTCGCTCCCTCTTAAATGCAGAACTGAATTAAAAATCCTTCTTCTTACATACAAAAGTCTGAATGATCAGGCCATATCAAAAGCAGAGCACTATATTATACTAACAAAGTGCCTCACTCCAAGTGCCAGACCACTTGTGGTTCCCAAAAGTACAATGAGAGCCAGCTATCGGGGCCCTCTGCTGCAGAACCAGCTCCCACAGGGTTCACGAGAAAGATGCCCTGTCTACTTTTAAGATCAATCTTTAAACTTTCATTTTTGATATAGTTTACAGTTTCTGCTGGAACAGATGACTCTGAACCATCCCTTAGTTCACTGCCCTCTCTTCACACCTTATGTGAGGTAATATACTGTAACACTATTTTAATGCCATTGCCTTGTGTTACTGCATCCAGTAGTTTGTGTTTTATCTTTTGTAGTTTGTGCCTGTTTACGCTCTTCTCTCCCAGGAGATTCTTCTGGAATCTCCTGGCCTTCTTCCAGAGCATGATTCTGCTGGAGTTGTCTTCTTATTGAAAGAGAGTTACAAGTTGTTGCTCACAGGGGATCACTGATCATTGGGGTCCTCTCTCTAATATGGAAGAATCTCCCTTGACACATGTTGTTTTGAACTAAATTGTATTTAGTAAAATGTAATTCTTTTGTCACTATGTTGTACAGACAAGTTTGATTTTCTAGGTCTGCTGTGCCTCAAATAGATGACCATGAAAAGAAATCCATGACAAGCTTACCACAGCTCAGCGCTAAAGCAGTCAAAACACTGCATCCCTAGTGCGCCAAACAGTCTAAAGCCTGAGATTTAGACACACGGGGCTTACTTTTATATATGGTTACCTCATTAGCTGAAACTTTTGTTTTGTTTAAGAACAAATAACACTATAACGTGAAAGAAAAACCAAGAAAACCTTAATTCGTACCCTTAAAAGGAGCTTAGTTTTCACAATACTAATAATGTCTAGGTTTTTTCTTGCCAATGATTGTTTTGCTCAGACACAGAGGAGCTATTACGTTATCACAGCCATTCTTGTTTGGTCTTATCCTCCTCTAGTGGAGCGATTATCAGGGTGACATCGTGAAGCCCGTCGTCTCGAAACACTCCAGGTCAAAGCAGACTGTCCTCCCCTTGCTCTTCAACCATTGTTAATTCTTCCCTATTTTACACCATTGATCTCCTGCCTCCCGGCCCAAACAGCCAGGTCTTTGTGGAGCTGTTAAGCTGCTCTGCAACTGGACTTTCTGCCTTCGTGTTGCAAGCACAGTATCGATCCAAAGTTCCTGAACTGCCAGCTGGGTAGAAAAATAAATAAATAAAAAAGAAGAAAAGGTGAGGTACTTAGTTCGATGAATGGAACAACCTTAAAGAACACTAGAGCCATTTATTTTTATTGTGTAGTTCTTGGGGTCACTGATTGTTTTTCCAATGTGTTCTCAGGTTTGTTCACATGTGAAATATATTTGCATGACAGGATGTGTTCAGTGTTCAGCGTGGGACCTGATAAAATAAATAATTTCTGCTCCTGGTATTGTCTTTAAAAAGTGCTTAAATGAAGGTCTTTTTCTTTGAAGTCTAGTCCTATAGTGATGCGTAATTCAGGTTCAGGCAAAAACCATGAAAATGAATAATTTCATTGACTGACTTTGTTTCTTAAAGCCAATATGCAAAGTAAAGAAATGCTAATCTGCTGTGGCTCAAAATGCTGATGTTCAACAGAAAACTAAGTAAGTGCTTGTACAGTCAGTGCTATTAGCATCATACTACTATATGTTTCTTCCTGACAGTCAACTGTTAAAAGCCATATGGCATCTACAATAAGACTGCCATCAGAGCAAAGCTGCTGACCTCCTGGGGCTAAAAATTAAGAGTCAAAAGCTGCAGTTTCTTTTTGTACTGACTCCTTTAAGAAGCAGTGTGATACCCAATACTATCTTGGCTTCTATCTGCTATCCGGTCTTTAAGTTATGACGTGATGAATCCTGCTTCCGGGCCCAAACTACCCTGCATTTTATAAGGCTTTTGTGTTTTAACATGTTTTAATGCTTTGTATCTTGTTCTATTTAATCTAAAAAAAAAAAACCCTAAAAACTGTCAGTGTTCACTGTTGGACTCTCTCGGTTTTTATTACCACGACTCATTTTAAAGCTCAGTTTTTAAACCCTTACGATGTAACTACAGCCCAGCCCATGCAGCAGCAGTATATTAATGACTAACCTCGTATTGTGGATGGATTATCTTGGTGGTTCTCTGGACAGACGTTTGGTCCGTTTACAGCACCATGCCATGCGATTGCATTTGTCATCGAGAACCCTGACGTTAACTTTTATCGAGTGGACAATTAGTGTTCATCCTCCAGTTTCACTGTTTATATTTTGCTAACATAACTGTGTCGCTAGCGATCACGTAGCACATCATTATATACCAGCTAGCCCAACTTCAGTAACCCTACAAACGTCGCTGTTTACTTTCCTATCGTCATTTATGTTGGAAGTGATAGCAGAGCTGTATGTTTTAATTTGTTTAATAAATCTCTCAGTCAGAACATGGTATATTATATTTAGATGGAAGCTAGCGAGCTAACTCCCTGCTAATTTATAACTTAGTTAAATGTCATAAATTCTGTTTTCATGGATGCCTGGATGTTACACTTAATTGTTACACCTGGTAGAGAAGCCACACTGATCATTTTATTACAGATGAAAGGATTTAGACAGTTTTTAACTCTGAGTGATGCTGCAGTGATCATTTGAGTTATGGACCTGCAGCAGATTTTGGGCCCAGACACAGCTAATGACATCAGACTTAAAGACCAGATAGCAGACAGCTGATAACTTTGACTCTTCATCCCCTTATCTCACTTGGTCATTCTCTAAAAATCCAGTGCAACTAGGTTTTTTTGTTTTTGCCAACCTAAACCTTAGCAATGTTTGCATGCATATCACTAGTGCAGGGTGTAGTCAGTGGGCTTAAAAGGTGCTGATCAGCCAAAGTAGGCTGTGTAGCACTGCCTTTGCTAAGTTACTATTTAAAGAGCCTCCTTGGGATTTTTATGTATTAAAATATATCCAGTTTACACTGTGTGTGTGTGTGTGTGTGTGTGTGTGTGGGGGGGGGGGGGGGGGGGGGGGGGGTGTTTAGGTGTAATAAATGTGCTAAATCTATTCAAATTTATTATGCTTTTTTTTTCTTTGCAGTTCAAGCACTGGCCATAAATCAATGCCACAGCTGTACTTTCGCAAAAAAAAAAAAGTTATCAGCTAGGAATTTTTAAAAAGAAGAACAGAAGCTGAGCGAAGTTATAAGAAACTTATAAAAACCGTATAAGAAAAACAGCTGACAAACCTAGTGAGAAATTATAAAATGGCTTGTTACAGTAAACTACCAGAGGATAACAAAAATAACAAGAAAAATACAAAAAATATTAACTGGCATTCTTAACAGCATAACCAAATAACTATTATATCCAAAAAGTTATGTGACTATGAGAATGAATTGGCTCGGTAAATAAGTCATTTGGGGTTTTTTTCGTTTGTTTTGTTCTTACTCTGGTCATCTGGATATGATTATTTTCTATTGTTATTGTTGTGTGCACACAATAATATTCCTTTCCCCACCTCACAATGTTTGTTCCTCATCTCTTTCACACAAGTTTAAGTAGTACATCAATGGAGTGGCAGTGGTGCAGACATCAACTCTGCACAGCAGCTTCTTTCAGCTTCAAAGCCAAGCAAGACAGCCAAGCACTTCCAGGTCAGTTACAAGAGGTCCCCTCTCCAGTGTGTCCTGTGGTGTCCTCGCACACAGAAGTATCTTCAGCACTGACAAAGGAGAGACAGCACGGGTCATTCTCATTACCTCATTTGACCTTTCTGTGTAGAGCTGCAGCAATGCCAAAGGCTGCATTATAGCTGGAGCCAGAAGCATAAAATCAGCACCAGTGAATATATTTACCAGAAGTATTGTTTCTAGCTAGCTTACTAGGTAACAACTAACGCCCATGTTCTATTAACCTGCTCACAGTAGCATCATTACAAGCTCAGTTTAACAGGTTCAGTTAATTGCGTTCCATACCAGTTTCTTTTCTTCACATGGCCCTGCCTGGCAAGTATATCACACTTTTTCTGGCCCCATGGATATGTTTAGTAGCCTGAAAAATTAGGAAATTGGGCAGCACAGTGGAGCAGCAGTTAGCACGTTCCCTCATGCCAACAAGGTCCTGGGTTCTTTTTGTGTGGAATTTGCTCTCCCCATGTCTAAGTGGGTTCTCTCTGTATTCTAGCTTCCTCCCACAGTCCAAAGACATACATGTTAGATTAAGTGGTCAGCCTAAATTGCCTGTAGGGGTAAATAAGAGCATGACTTGTTGTCTGTCTCTATGTCAGTTAGCACTTTGACAAATTAGCAAGCTAATTAGTAACTAAAGATTTTTAATTAATGCACTCTTCCCTTTTAGACACACCCCTGCATGCTGCACATATTGGGGAATGGCTGCTGCCATCCTGCAGCAAAATGTGCAGAATATCTGCCAAATTTAAACAGTTTGTCTACATGCTTTTTGTCACGGTCTATGTGGCAGACCGTGGGGATGAGGGGAATGAGGAGCCAAGATGCAGGACTTTGTGATGAAGGCAGTGCGTTTATTTACAGTGTTGTAAATAGTTCAAAGACTAACCCCGTGTTTTCCCCTTGACTTCCGTGTCGTGTCTTCACCCACAAGTTTGTGCTCTGTGCTCTTCCGCTCCTGTGTCCCCGCACCCCGTGCAGCTGCTTTTGTCTTCCCTGTCTTCCTTGGTACTAACACCACTAACGTGGAGTCTCACACAACAATCCCACACCGAGGAGCGCTCAGCCACAGTCTTAAGAAGCTCCCCAACGACGCTTCATTAGCTGCAGGTGTGTGAGTCATCTTCTGCTTCAGGTGTGGCCATCCTCTAGACAGGACACGCCCACCAGGTCTACCTGAAACCAGTACTCAGCCACACTCACAGACACACCCACTTGCCTATACAAACAAGGATGAGGAATAACAAGAACAGCAGCAGTGCAGACAAAACACACATCACAAAATAACAGCAATAATTATAAGAGTAGTCCACACTGCTGACAGACCCTGAATCCCTGGAGCTGGGTCTGTGACAGCTTTAGCGGGCTCTTAGTTCAATGACCTTGTTGCTGTGTAAAATAAAGTGAAGAGGATCTGGTTAAAATTGTGCTTTTTTTTCTTTTTTTAAGTTTAAGCTTATTAAAGATGTGGCTTGATAAAGGACTTTTTACCTGAAAAGGTTTTGATTGTGATTAGGATAGCAGATGCTGCTGTTGTCAACTCAACCCAGCTGGAATAAACCTTTTCTTTCATTCTAAGTTCTTTCATTCCTGCTGGGTTCACTGTAACAATCATAGTGCTCCCTCATTGGTGCACAGTGTGTGTGTGTGTGTGTGTGTGTGTTCACTATTATCAAACCCTATTTTGTCATTTAAATCTGTAACACGATATATTTAGTCACTCCACATGACTAAGAACTGCCTCTTTGTTTCATTCTTGACGCCAACCCAACAAAATGGTGTGTGTATCAAAGCTTGCACTGACATTAGAATCAATATGCAGTACACGTCTGCTGTTAAAAGGGGTATAGTGGTCACTCTCTGGAGGGCAGACTTTGTGCTCTCCGAGTCAGAGACCAGATTAGAATTCCTCACAGATTAATCTTTGACTCATAACAGACTGTAATTAAGTCGAGACAACTTCTAAAGTCCAGAGTAAGGAAAGAAAAAAAAGTCAGTTTATATCACCCCCGCTTGTGCAGGATACAAGAGGTCAGGCCATAACACGCTGATTAAGGGATGAGTTATTCAAAAGATTTTTTTTCTGAAATGCTCCACAGGACTGATGGTATATGAAGATGAGAAAAATAATCTGCTCTGCATGCTAGCTGCTTTGTGATATATCAGCCTAATATCGTGGGACATTTAACAGGATCGCATTTATGGAAAGATTTTTTGCGCTTAATGTATGTGTTATCATTCAACCATAGGAGGAGTATTGTAAAACTTTTACTGTACTGTGGCATACAGGCAATAGATCCAACCCAACCATCTATCTCCCCATCCTTCCCTCTCTCGCAACTGTTCTCCTACTGCTATCATTACCTCTGCCATTTCCCCCTTTTTACCTATCTGTTAGAGCCCATTAAACAGTTTGTGGAAAGGAGGGGGGGGCATGGATTTGACACCGAAACAAGCCCTACCTCACTGTACCCAGAACACACACACACCCTCCATTCACATGTACGCATTATCCTAAGCCAAACCATTCGAGGTGTGTAGCGTAAGCCTCTGCACTGCGCCTCATGTTTCATGAAGAGATAAGGGCCACTAAAAATACCCATCGTGTACGGAGAGATAGCCAAGCTTTAGGAGAGGTATCTACAGCGAGCAGCCAGCAAAGCGGTGTCTCCTTTAATTCAATCCACAGACACAGACAGTGTTTTGCAAAGAAACAGAGCTAGAAAAAGAAATATTTGAAACAGGCTTTTTATGGGTGTCTTATTATTATTATTAACACAATATGTTGTCGGATGTATCTCCGTTATTTAAGCAGGTTCATTTAGACAGCTTGATAAAACAGGTGTATTGTTTCTGATTGGGGTTGATTCATGCATTATGTTAAACTTAAAATGAGATTATTACGGATTGACTTGAAACAACGATCACACTTTGATTAAGTCGTTATTATTACATCTTCCTTCACCTAAAGTCAGCTCTCAGGGAAGTCTATCCAGGTAGTGGTGTAAAATATCTTACAAAGCATGGCTCTGTGTAAGACCAGATCTTGATATTAGAGCAGAGAACTGTGTCAACAAGTTTCCCGCTGTTCTGACGCATGTTAGATCCTGTAGCTAAACAGAAGCTGATCCTCTGAGGGAGATCTGTTACCCTCTGCACACACAAGTCTGCACTGTAAAAACGATAACTAGCAATTGTTGATTTCACTAAAGTTTTTAAATTAAACTGACTTAGAAATAAAACTTTCTATTTACAACCTAAAAAAGCTTGTCTACCCAACAAATTTCTTTCATTGTTGTCCTAACTAAGATTTTCTAGACAGCATAACAAAGATTATCAACTTTTGAGCAGAGTTTCTGAGTCAAGTTGGGAACCAGTGGGAAACCCCGTAGATGACTGGCACATGTGGTCTGAACAAGTTTGAACTAAACCAAACGGACTTTCAACTGAGCCTGAGCAGACCTGAGCTGTGTGATAGTGATTTACCATGTGTTCTAGACTAAAAACCTCCTAAGAAAATTTGAACCATCGTGGCTGGATTTGGATGCAAATTGCAATTTTTCGACCATTGAGGATTTTCACTTCTGCAGTTGGAGTGTATAATTCTTTTGGACAGGTGCTGGAGCTGCCGACCATTTACCCTAGCAGGTAAGCTAACTACATGTGTTATTAAGATTTTCTACAAGCGCCTAGGCTGCATCCTCCTGAGGACCCGGGAGAATGGAACTAGTAAAACACTGAAAAAGGGGACCACTAGGGGGACGTAAGGAAGATGGCAGCATAAACCTGCAGCTCCCGGTCAAAACTCGAAAGAGAACCAGAATTCGAATATTTCCACCGCTAAACCGTGTAATAAATGCCATGGAAGGTGGAAGAAGGTCAAAAAGACAAGGAAACATTAAGGATTTTGTGAAACAAGTGGAGCTGGTAAGAGGGGGCAACGCAGACATGTCCGAGAACAGCGTGCAAGGCGAGCAGATGGAAGGAGATGTAGCTAGCCACCCTCACGCAGACTTCCAGGACATCATTAAGGAAATTCACTCACTTAAAGCAGAGTTTAAAACCGAGTTTGCCACGTTTAAGAAAGACATCACACAAGAAATGAAGGACGAATTCGACAGCTTCAAGAAAGACATTAATACCAAGCTGGCAGAAACTGCGAACGAGCTAGCTAGCCATGAGACCAGACTCGAAGAAGCTGAGAAAAGACTGGAAGAGATGGAAAGGTGGAATTTGGCCGCAAAAGACGCTCTAATCCAGTCGCTTCAGCAACAACGGAATATTCAGACGAAACTGGCTGACTTGGAAGGCCGTAGCCGACGGAACAACATTCGCATTTTTGGCCTAAAAGAGGGCTCTGAAGGAAACTCTGTGCTGCAGTGTGTGGAGGACTTGTTGAGAGCTGAGCTTTCGCTCCCGCCGGATTCTGCTCTAAATATTCAGCGGGCGCACAGAGCTCTGGTGCCAAAACCCGGACCAGAAAAACCTCCGCGATCGGTGGTGGTTAATTTTCTTCAGTTCTCAACCAAGGAGATGGTGCTGAAGGCAGCGTGGAAGAAAAAGGTGGTACATCAGGATAAGCAGCTTTTCTTTGATCATGACTACGCTGCCGACGTGGTTCAAAAGAGGAAGGAATACGCTGGAATTAAGAAAGCCTTAAAAGAGAGAGGAATTCGCTTCCAGACGCCTCTGACCAGAATCAGGATCCACTGGGAGAGCGGCGCCAGGACATATGACAGTGGCCGGGCGGCGGCGGAGGAGCTAAGGAGGAGAGGAATACAGGTGGAGGTGCCGCAGCGGAGCGGGGAAAGCACGATGCTGGAGGAGCGACTGCAAAATGCATTGGGATGGCAGCGATCTAACACCGAGAACTTATAAGTGAGGATACAAACATTTGAATCCGGTGGAAATGACTGAACAGTAGAACTCTGAAACTAAAGGTTCATTACTCTGTTACTTTTCAAGGCAAGGTAGACCGGAAAGTGGTAGGTTTTCTTTTCTTTTTTTTCTTTTTTCTTAAGGAACCTATGTTGGATCTCACGGGGGCCCCTAATCTGAAAGGGATATACCCCACGAACCACAGGGACGCTGTGGGTAAGAAATACGTATTTTCAGTTTCTCTTAAGTTTCTTGTTATCTTGTTCCAAGTTCTTAGAGTTAGTGTGGGATGCTATGATAGTGATAAGCCAAAAATAAAGCAAAACTTAACAGTGAAAAGATGAGGAATATAACGCTGGTGTCAATGAATGTCAATGGGATGAATAACCCAATTAAAAGAAGCAAAGTGATACTCAAAATGAGAAAGCTTAATGCCAATGTAATATATCTACAGGAAACACATTTGTCGCAGGAAGAGCATGATAAATTGAAGAAATTTGGGTACAGAAATTCTTACTATAGTACTTGCAAGAAAAGTCGTAAAAGGGGGGTAGCAATACTTATTAAAAATTCAGTTAATTTTGAATGTTCTAAAGAAATTCGGGACAGTGAGGGGAGATACATTATTGTAAGAGGTAAACTAGAAGGGGAGGCGGTGACACTAATCAATCTCTATATTCCCCCTGAGAGCAACCAACAAAATGTGAAGACTCTACTTACTACAGTCATGTCAGAATCTGAAGGGACTGTGCTGTGTGCAGGAGACTTTAATGTGGTATTCGACCATAGAATTGATACAACAAGCACAAATAGAAGCAAAAACAGCCTGGCGAGAATGGTTAATACATTTATGAAGGAGCATGGAATGGTAGATGTATGGAGGGAACACCACCCACTGGATAAGGAGTATACACACTACTCAAAGACTCACAACACTTACTCAAGAATTGACTATGTCTTAATGAACAGATGGGATCTACACAGAGTAACTGAATGCACAATTGGAGTGGCAGATATTGCTGATCACTGTGCCATTCATTTAAAGCTAAATCTAAATAGTAGGCGTAGAAATACCTGTTGGAGGTTAAATCTGAGCTGTCTGAATAATAAAGAAACGAAAGACCAAATCAAGAAAGATATAAAGCAATACAT